ATTATGCACGATTGTGCATTACTCGTCTGATATTGGTTGATGGCTCCGAACTATATATCTGTTTTCATGTTTCTTCCATTTTATTCACCCTTGCTTATCAAGACGCTATGATCTTCACCGGAACCAAACAACTGGGAAGGTTCGTGGACTGGTAGTTGACAGTGAGTCTCAAAAATATATTTTCACCGAAGCATTAATATTATATCCCAGCAAAAACCCAACCATTGACAGATCTGCATACGTGAGCATGTTGCACATATACATAGGATCCGTCGCTTTGCGAGTACGGTTTCTCAGTACCAAGAGAAATATGTATTAGTATTTTTTGTACTGACATTGGAATATCCTGATTTCGAGCAAATACACAAGGAGGCAATTTGCTCACTATGGAAGACCACATCGAACCGTACGTGAATATGCTTGTCTTTAGAAGCAATTAGCTAGGAATTTGACCACTGTATCTATGGCAAAACTCTGCTTAGAATGAGTAAAAATGCGCCACGATTACCAGTGATACATTGGTTGGAACGAGGTCAACACGAGCAACAACTCTCAGCTAAGATGCAGAAACTTGAGGCTTGTTGGGTGTGGAGGGCATGTGAGGTCACATTGTACTTCGCAGATCGATAGAGAGCGTGTGCCAGCCTGAAGTTATGCTTTTGCGTCGCTTGTGGATAGTTGAGCTGAGTATTTAAGAGTAAAACGCTTGTGTCAGAAGGGGACATCTAGTAGCAGCAGATTTTAATATTATGCACCCTTGGGACAATAGATATTAACATAGATGAGCTTAGTATTAAAAAGACCTGACCAAGTGTGAAAGTGTATGCTGTCTGCCCTGTACATTTTGGAAGCGTACAATCAGTAGTGATCAACGTCGCTTTTTCATCGGGCATTTTATTGGACCTCGATTAGTCAGCCTCCTCACTTAATGCTTGCGAAAAGAGCCATTCATGAAAGTGGCTATCGAGTACTTCAAAGCAGGAGAGCGCTGAGGAACACTATCTCCTTTTCTACATTCCGGGGAAGACTACCAGTATAGGCAGGTACTGATGGATCGTTACGTTGGAGTGCCGATGTAGTGTATGTCTTGTTGAAGGTGCTGCGGTAAAGTTACCTGTCTGAATTCGGAAGTTGAAGACTAAACACCATTTCGATTGCGTATTTATGAGTTCTCAACACATCGGCAATCTAGCAAAATAGCTTAACAAAGGAGATTAGCAAGAAGTGACTGTTTGGATCCCGTATAATTCAATATATAACACTCAGTACCCTTGGTTAGGAATAACAACGCCACTATGTACAACACCTTTAGATAGTTAAGTAGGTTAAGCTAAACCACACAGTGGTCTTCCTATGGCCGATTTGTTCCGTTTAATACATGCACTGTGATAATGTGCTATGTGATTCCAAAGTATGGTAATATAAAGGATTGGAATACCAGTGGAGTGCCTAGATCTCGGTTGCGCCATGAACAGTGAAAAGAGCATAGCAACCAAAGGGTAACATTCTATGTGTGAAATTGCTTGATATATCCAATAAGCTGTACTTCTGAAAGTGTGCCAAAACGGTGCGTCTGATATGAACTTACACTTGAGCTTTGTTGTTATTCTAGATGCAGGCCATGCAGGCCTATTTAACTGACCAAACACAACTGAAAAGATGATCACACAGTCGCAATCATAATCGCTGGCCTATTTGTGATAAACATCAGTACTGGACAAGGCTAGTTGGCCTAATCTGGCTCAAGTTTGTAATGGAGCAAGCTAGAACGTGGGTCAAATATAGCCACGTTAACTTTTATTGAATTGACCTGGACAACCTTTAGCTGATAACTCATAACAGTCTGCTGCCGTCCCCTGTGGACTAGTGGTATAAGCTGCTGCTCAATGGCGTGCGCAGTTAGTAGTCACAGGTTCGCTTCATGGTGATGCCGGGAGTTCGAACAACTAACCAGTCCCAATAGACGGGAATGTCACTCTGAAGCTACGCCGGATAAGCGTTAGGCTTTGTTACCTGGAACCAACTTCCACGAGCCCTCAGTGCAATAACATTCAAAGTAGCTCACTTTGCTTCGCATTCACACTTCATCAACGAATAAAATAGCAAGCTTGACAAAGTAGCCGTAAAATCGAAGAACTAACGTAAAAGCTGACATGGTGCTGATCAGGAAATTTCACTTAGTTCACTTTTGGGTGTTGGTTAAACTAAGATAGTAACAACGGTGCGCTCATTCCGTCATAATTATATTCTGAGTTCCAAAGTGGACCATTGTGTGCTCTCGGTTTATGGTAAAGTATAAATCATGTAGTCCCAGTGACAGTTTGCGCAGCTCTGTGGCGCTGTGTGGGTTACACTTATCAACATCACCCAGGACAGGGGTCACCAAACTACGGCCCGCAGGCTGGCTCCGGCCCCCGACTGTATCAGAATTTGCTTGTTAAAGTGTACGTATGTAACAGGAGACTTTGCCATAAGATTTACAGTTGAAACAACATGCCGCTTTGTCCGTGACCTTATACTGTTCCGAACAACGGTGCGAGCCAGCCCATGGTTGTCACATGTGACACCGTACTATTATTCACCCCACAACGTTGATGTGAGTGGTCATGCATGTAACCAATTCATCCGTACAATCTACCGCGTTTGTGTTGATTTCACACTCATGCGCCGCACTTTTCCTATGGTATGCTTTCTTGAAGCGTGTGGCAAATATAAAACGCTGCTTATTAAGCCGCCATTAGTTTATGCGTGCTTCATGTTGGGGTAGTATTTGTTAATCATTCTGGACGAGTGAAAAGCTCTTAGTACTGAATTGAGCCGGAAGCACAAATTGTTGAGGTTTGTACCTTTTCGAATTGATAAATTCACCGGTATCCAGTTCCTCGAAACCTGAGTTAGCAATTTGGCCGACATAAACAGGCTAGTTAACTTGGACCATCGCTGCCTTCAAAGCTTAGCTCATGTCTGGTGGGAAAACCGCGTGAGCCATACGCGTTTTTGGTGTTATGTACTTGCTGTAGGAGCAACAGGCGAATAACAACACTGTTATTCCACATTAATTTTATAAAACTTGGTTTCTATCCACAAGCTCCAGGTTTGCGGGTCGTGCACCGCAGGCCACCCGTGGTCCCCATGTAGGCTCAGTTGCCCTGTGACCATCTCCACGGAGGCCATAATGACACCGATACCTCCAATATACATAGAAAAGATTGTCGTGTGCTATGTTCTATTGCCCAATGTACCAATGTATTTTACGTGTACCTTTGGTGAACCGCAGCGCAAGCAATGACCACTATTCCTCTGATTTCCGATCTTCCAAAAGGGTTTCTACTGTGTACGTTATACCAAATCTTTTTCGTGTTCAGATCCTCCTGCTTTTAGCCATCACTAAGGTCAGTAGAAAAAAAGCGGGCACCAAGTCTCCTGCTTTCTCAGTCTTCTTCCTCAGACTTTTCGTATTGCATTGTAATTTTGTGCATAGTGATTGCGCGGGCCTCGCTAACCATTTTTTGAGTTGGCCTGCCCTCGCCAGCCATTTTTCCAGTTACCAGGCCTGCTGTGAAAAACACTTGGTGACCACTGCTCTAGAATCTATGCCATCAGTATGGATGCATTTATTTCCAACAAGGAGGTGCCGTTGGAAATGCTAACTTGCAGGTTGATTTGGCCCTTACATGGCAGAAGCAAGCAAGGGCCACTTGAGGCCGAATGAGTCCATGTTGGATATTTTTTCACTGGAACAACCGTTGGGCTACTAATAAACCATATTTCGGGAACCAACTCAATAACTTCGCCAGTGGACTACTGGAACTAATACCAGAGCTCGGGAGCTAGAGCACATCTAACTTAAGACGTTACGGTTTGAGCTCCAGTTGGCGCGGCACAGCTCAGTCACACAGGACAAAGCACAGTGAAGGAGGATTGTTAGTATATTTGCAGTTGTCTAATACGCCTGACCGTTGGTGTCTAATCTAAACTAAGCAGTTTCGAGTTCAGCGCAGAAAATGCCGGGCACACGAATGAAGGCCCCAAGTATGTGGTCAACGTTGACAACTACCCATCTTCCACACCATCCATAGAATTACAGATCGATTCATAACACAGTTGTTGGACGAGTAGTTGACCGTAACATTCGTCTATACAGTATAGATAAACCACAAAGCTAACCGCATTCATTACACGCTGTGTAGTCTGTTCGGTTAGCAGCACGATAGACCGGGGGCGTCTAGGAGGTCACACGTTAGTTTTCTATTCAGGGGCCCGGGGAGTTCTGTATTAATAGAGGCGTGATAGTGACTAACGGTGTGGACAATAAATAAGCAAGCAACCTTCGTGAAATTAGCTACGGCCACTACAGTCAGTTTGTGATGTTTTCCGAAGACACACCAAAACTTTGTCGGAATAATTGTTTTGTTCCACTGCATAAGGAGGCGCATTCTCAAATAATTCGATGTATGTAAACCGTACAGAAATCTAGGTTCGCATCATAAATGCTGATTTTTCTCATGTTGAGTTGGCATGCAAAATACCAAAGGGATTTGTGAGCTTCAAGTATGACCAAAGATTGCATCTTTACCTCATGAACGTGAGAGCTGCAATGACTAACTAGATGTGCCACAAGATTACAATGTATTCAATCTGTCCGTATTAGTAAAAGCGTCGCATACTAAAAGTGGGTTGCAGTTGTGGAAAACAGTTTCTGTTCTCAGTATGAATAGCATATGAGATCACAAGTTGGCACGTTCGTACTTGTATCTATGGTTTGTATCGCTTTTGTGAAAGTCAGGACTTCAAGAAGCACTTTCACTATTTTTCGTATCGACACTTAAAACTTTGAAGGTGCGATGAAGCAAGTAGTGCCTCTATTGAAGCGGTACCCCAATATGTGCAATCGCACTGCTTTATTACTTTCTAATGTTTAGTACTTTATTCAACTACCAGGATCGGGCAGAAGTTGTAGACACACATCCTTTTGCCCGCAACCTATCAAGAACGAGGAGCTGAAACTCAAACAAGAAAGGATTCACGGTGAGATCTATGAATCGTTTGATACAACTGCACAGTCATAGCCAAGAGAGTCTCAAAATATATTTCAAGTATTCCTCTTAGCCTGCCTAAAAACTGCTGCACACATACACATCAGATCACAGAAAATGCTATTCGTTTCTGCAATATGAGAAACATAATGCTTTGACATTGAAAAAAGAATGGTTTCTCAGAAAGACGTCTGCAGCTGAGATGAAAACAATTCTCAACTCATATTAAGCGAAAAGTAATAGGCCACGATAGAGTGCTTCTGTAGATGCAAAAGGCGTGGCATTCTCGGTGGTAAAATTGATGTAGAGGACACTGTGAATGGAGAAAGGTTGTTGCGAGTATATCCAGTTCAAAGATCGAAAAAGAAGACACATTCAATGGGTCTTCAGCGAAATTCTTGAACTTGGTTTATCCACTCGTCCAGCTGATTGAAGTTTTGGCTTTTGAGAGGTATCTGCAAAACAGAAGTATAGAGTGTGTGTGTTTAAGGTAGCAGGTCGAAATGTACCAATTTCACGTGCTTGCCGAGCATAGCTATTGATCCGCGAATATTTCATCGGTTAGCGGATCTCCCAAGTTCACCAGAGACCTCAGAAAATCTGGTGTAGATCACCGGGTATAAATTTAGGAGGTCTGTTAAAAGCTTAGCTGCTCCTTGATCCTAGGTCGACTACCAAATCAGAAAAACTATATTTGACAGAGTAGCGAGCAGAGAAATTCAGCTTGTTCGCTAATATAATGTATACAAGCCAGTCATCATGCCGGGCTATCAAGTCCAACCCAGAACGATTAACCCGAGCTAACAGTGTTTCAGATCACATTAAATGTTGTTTTCGCCTTAGCAAATAGTTGCACAAAAGTAACTCACCCTGCTTTCTTGTAACTGCCGACGCTGATGAGTAAAGATATGGGTTAATCGCACTTAGAAGCTCCGCGTTAATGCGTATAAAACGAAATAAAATCTTAGGAAAATCAGTTATAGCCGTTGCAACGATGAGCAAGCTAATTGATTCGAACACATGAACAGGTATGGTTTAATTTATTGGGTTTAGAATAAACTCTTGTTTTCTCGGCAAATCGCAAAGGTTCTGTGTACACAATTTCGATTCGTACTAGCGAGCAAAATGACCACGTTTCGATTCTTAACCCAGAAGAGAGTACTAAGACAGATCAGATGCTTTAGATCTGGTAGCGGTTGGTGTATGAATGCCGCTCCAAACATCCTGGCGTACCTGGCAATCGCACACACTCGAATAGCAGCAAATCAACATACCAGGTTATTTGTTTCTGAATTTCACGCACTATTGATCGATCTTTGTTTATTTTATCTAAATGTGTGTCTATTATATTTCGGCTTATACAATAAAACGCGTCGAAGCAGTGGTACTCAGATTCTGTCATGCTGGGTACAATTCGAGAAGTCGACGGTGAAACTCAAATAAGATACATAAGCAATTTCTTCCAAATAATGAAGCTAGACCCAGGTGGCGTTGGCGGTTAATATAATGCTATCGTAAAGGAAATATGTAACAGAGGGTAGCACATGAACCGAATGCACTAGAGACTATTTGGCTAGTATCTTCTACGCATAACCGAGCGCATATAAGTGGTCTGGGTTTAGCAAAATATGCCTCTCAAAAATATAGACGATATGGCGAATAAAATTAACACATTATTGTGAGATTAAGGTACTCAGCGGACGCTGGAACGTGAAAATCTTTGCAATTTTAGAGAAAAGCAAAAAGGTTACGATGGAGTAAACCGTGTTTTTTGTTATTACGCAGCGTAATAGCCGCCTGACTTGCAGTACAACCTCTTCGTGATGCAACTGGGTGGTTCGGGTTGCTTCCGTTACAGCAGATGGCTCTTCGGTAGTGTCCGAGGACGTGGTGGGTTTTCGACTGACAAGCGTCTTCCCTATAAAATGCCACTTTTATCCGTGTAACAAGACTGCCACGAGGTGGATGTGACTCGCCAGTAAATAAAGTCACTGACCCTTGCTTCATACTATCGAAACTTTGTATTCCAGCAAATTAATGCTAACATTGTGGGGAGAATCGGGACCTTTTTGGCAAAGGAACAAACGAAAGTTGTGTGAACTAAGCAATCAGTCACTGACTACCAATGGGCGCGATTTGTCGAATTCGCTTCGTTGCCTTCCGGGACAGGCTATTCGACCAAAAGCTCGAGGTAGTGTCCCCTAAAACATCACCCTACCTCGGCTTCGGTAACTGGGTCGTATCCTGCCCTCTGACGAAACCATGGACTCCTCTGTGTTGTGTTGTGTCTTCTTGCTAAGATAACTTTACCTTACTTTGAAATCTATGGAATCTGGTGGCTCAATATCTATCAGTAGAGTGTTGCTTTCTTCACCCTTTGGAACTTCGAATGAGCAATGATGAGGACGTTCTTCGAAGCGATGTAGTCAGATTTCTCGATCAGAATGATCCTTACCCCTTTATCTGTACTAGAATGTTGCATATCCTTGTTCCGTTCACGCAGTTTGAGGAGGTCTAAGTGCGCATTCGGGGAGACATACCTGCATTCAGGTTAAGCCTCAGGTACTGATAGCAGGAGTTTACCGTGGTGTATTTAAATATTTAGCTGGGAATCCCGACGAAAGCAGAAGCATAGGAACTGAGTATGTACATATTACACTCTGATTTTTATTGTAGCTAGCTTGTATTATTATTATTATTACTATTACGAAAAAAACAACACTTCGGACTGGGCGAAAGTGCCACAAGCATTGTCTAAGCCAGATATGAGGTTGTAACATTTTGAATGTACTTTTCAGGGAAAGATGGAAACATGGTGTTTGCCTTAAGTTTGCCGATGTGACTCCATAAGTCATTTAAAATTAGAAAGCCAATCTGAAAATTCGACTACATCGATAAGATGAATGTCATTCTCAATGATCCTTTGAACTTCCGAAGGATACAGCACGAGAAAGATAAAATGGGTGAAATCAAAAAGAGTCACAAATCTCAGTAGCGTAGTGTTCAGGGCGTCAGTCGTGAACAGCTGGGCTCTGAGTTCCACCCCAGCTCAGGCTGTCGCCACCTGATGAGTCCAAACCAGGACGAAACCGCAGTCGTGGTGCGCAAGTGTTTGGCGGAGCAATACCCAAATATTTCCATTTCGCATACAGTTCTCGTGATCGGAATAAACGAGGTTTACCTCAAAGTGAACCGAGATTTCAACAGAAGTCGCCTATCGCAACCCAACCACACAGCGGGTTCCTTAAATTCAACGTTGAATTACTTTCCGCTGTGCCAAGCGTTGCTCGCAGATCTCAGTAGCGTAGTTTTCTGGGCATCAGCTGTGAACTACTAGGCTCTGAGTTCCACCCCAGCTCAGCCTATCGACATCTGATGAGTCCAAACCAGGACTTAACCGAGGTTGTGGTGTGCCAGTATTGGGAGGAGCAATACCTAAATATTCCCAGTCACAAGGCTGTCACGCTGGCTTAAACAAGAGTACGTAAGTTACTCTGCCTCGTTTGACTGCACTCGTCCTCAAAGTCAGTGATTCCGTGACTTTGTGGCTTACCGAAAGTGTATAGAGGAAGATTTCTAAGGGATCCATTTTGGACACATGTGAGATTCCATAGCCATTAACAGCGAAATGCCTCGCTAAACTTTCAGAACCGGTTAGGAATATCTTTTAAAAAATACAGCCTCAACGATGCTTACAGCTTCGCTGACTTCACTAAACATGTGGCGCTAACTAGATGGAAGATGTCCACTGGATTTCGTATTATTGTTCAACAATGTTCCGTTAGAAGAGACCATAGTCTACCTATGCAATGTTGTTTAATCGCATCCTCTAAATGCCGGTCTTCCTAACAACCGACTTAAACAGTTACATTTTATGGGTGTGAATAACAAGCAATAGGATTTTTTCGGAAAGGTCTAGAGGTAGAAGGATGGAGTCGCAATTGGCCTACCGCTAGGACCGAAATGGCTGATGTGCTTATTAGTAACTCTGAAAACCACTATCTAAACGGGGCTATCAGATCTAAATTCCGCATGGAAGGTAGCCACCTGTGCACGGATGAACCAGTGACCCAATTTAACTTAGCATACAAGACAGCAAAATATACCAAGGAACCTAAGTGCGATAACTCAACGTCGACCTTAGACGTTCAGAAGAACAGATATGATGAGCTGGTGTAATGTATGTTTATAGAAAGATAACATGCAATAAACAATATACTTGTTTAGCCAGCTAGATACCACTTGGCCAGAAGCGGAAAATTTTAAGCGCCTAACCGAAATAGAGTGAAAAAATGTAGCAAGGACACGATTCGGAAGAGCTACTCTCTGTAAGAAGCCTATACTAAAGAAATTGCTATCCGGTGAATTTTGTCCGGAGAAATATGGAGTCTCGAGAGACGAAGGTAAAACTTGTTTCAGTGGAAAAGAAGCCGATCTACCTGTAACAGCTGTTCAATTGGGACGGAATACTGGCATCCACAACTAAATCTTTCAGAGACCTATGGTCAAGCCTACTACGCAGCAAGGTTAAGGCCAACCTTCAATTCAGCGCTAATTCGTAATCGGAAACTTAGGGAGTCCAGAGTTCATACTTCGCCCTGTTGTTAGTGTGGATCAAAATATATCAGAAGTACGCTTGCGAGACTGTCTGATAGAACCCGAGAGCATTGAGCAGCTTTGCAGTATAGCAGAGTGATTAGATCAATGGCATCCCTAGGTAGTGATTAAACCGGCTACTTGTTCTGACTACCAACCAAGGTAGGCGCATGGTCAGTGGAATGTCAGTGTGAATTGTCATGATCGTGTGAAATCATGTGGAAATCTCGATACGTGGCTATCTGGACTTGCAAGGAATCGCTACCAATATAGACTTTGTCATCCAAACTTTTGTGATTCTAACCTTGGACATTCCGAAAAGAGGGATTCACTCACCACACATGAACCAGTAACCAGAGGAATTTATTGTGGGAACGGGTTGCAACCCGCAATCTCAATGTGAACCGCGGGTCGAATCTAAGTGAACTTAGTCAATGCGGTCATTAGAACCGTAGCTGAAGCAAAGGGATATTTGGTTTTGCAGCGTCTTCGCACGGGCAGTACTAAATCACTGTCTGCATTAGCAATAGGCTTACGTTTACTTGCATATTTCATCAACAAGCTCTTGAAGATCCTCCGTATCAAGGTTTCACTATTATCACAGCAAAAGTTGCCTTATGAATCGAAGCTACTAAACACTGCTCATCTAAAGTCCACTTTAACAATGGAATTTGAGTTACGATGAATCAAAATTGGTTGAATTATTGGGTGTTAGTTAATCCGCGGTATTTTTTGTTATTTCCCATCTTTCATTTGGTCCCAAACATGGATTCTTCGGCTTAAGCGTTTGCTTGACAGTTTGGGTTGAATAAGGAAAATTTGCAGGCCTGTGTTTCTGCTCATATTACATAATGTTTATTTAAGCATGCTAAATGTCCGCTTGTTAGCTTTTCTGACATAATAATATAGAAGGGCAGTTTATATATCTCACTAAACTAAGCCACACGTACACTGACTCTCAACCCGGCTGGTGGCTGAACCCCACCGCCACCACTAGTAGTAAAGCCAACGTGCTACAACAGCAACGATTTCGTGTCATTGGGCTTTATTCATTTCGCGCCAACCCGGTATGTGCGACATCGAAACCGGATGCAAGGACAGGACTCCCGTTACTGCTTGCATTTACGCTGTTTCTCCATGGTAGTTTAGGAGTATGTTCGGATCGTAATGGTGAGACGTCAGGTCATTGAAGAGGTACAAGAACCAAACGCACCGTTACAGCAACAGACATCAGCATTTTAGTAGATGATGATATATGCAGAGAACTCCGCTTGTTCGCTCCCCCATAACTGCGAAA